ATGTTTATATATAGCATATATATACCCAAAAAAGAAATACTTAATATATAGATATATATATTTATATCTATATATATAATCATGTTATAATTTATTACAATTGGAAAATCATAACATAAGAGAATTATTATATCTCCCATAAATATAATCGAAAACAAACAACAAAGTTATTGCAATAAAGTTCAATCTATTGTGTCATGTAGATTTCTCTGTGCCGTTATCAATCGTGGACTATCATCTTCTTACTAAGGAAAAAATGCAAATTATTTTTTCAAAGAACCGTAGACGTCGCCTAGTTCAATGAAAAAAAAAAAAGAAGAAGAAGAAACGAGAAGGAATAAAAAAAAGAACAAAAATAAATTCTATTGTTTGTGAATAATTAGAACCGCAATATCTCACGTTTTAGATGCAATCAACATAAAAAATAAGAGTAATCGTCTTACGCACACTTTATCTTTTATATATTAACGGATTAGGATAGATTAGATCGAGCTCGACGTCTTCATGCTGAAAAACGTGAAAATAAAGTCCTTACTAGTTTCTGCGATTAAAAGATTATCGTCCCGTTGAATCTGTACGACCTTTTCTCGTAAATAGACAAACCTTACCTTTCAGCACTGTCAATAAAGAGAATACTAATTGTTCATTTGGGTCAGAAGGCTGTCATTTCTTTTTCGCTGGATTTCTTTGTGGTGTAGATGGTCTGCCTGCTTGACCAGTATTCATACCACCGTATTGATACTTTGCTTTCTTCTCTGAAGGTTTCAAGATCTGCACATGAAGACAAAATGAATGAAAGATTCTTGCTATTTAACTTTTTAATTATTGTAAATTACTTCTATTTATTAGTTCAATGTTTTTTTATTTTATTAATATTTAAACTACTGATTAGAAATGGTTCAGAATAATGATCCGATATAAATATGTGGGTTTATCTTTTTGTTTTTTTTTTTTTTTAAATATGTATATATAATCATGATTATACCTGGAAACTGCACATTAAAGTTTCATCGACGCTCATCATACCACCAGCATTGTCAAACTCTCCACAATAATTAGGAGCAGAAAAGAGAGTGACCAGTTGTCTTTTAGCAAAGAATTCGTAACCATCTTCGACAACTTGATGAGCTCTACATATTAAATCCATATCGTGACGATTTAAGAACTTGGACACAACGTCTGGACCAAAGGTGAAAGAAACACCTCTGTCGTTTTCTCCCCAACCCTAAATTCAAATATACCATAATATTTGTCTTACTCTCGAGAAGATAACTTAAAAATTAAGACTCATTTGGATTTATTTTACCTGAACATCTTTATCAGGGTCAGACCAAAGTAGATCGCAAAGAAGACCGGTATCAGGTACATCGGTGGGTCTCATGATCCTTTTGATCTGCTCCATACTCTATAAATATACAAATAAAATTGTGTGCATTATAGAGACAATTTTTAAAAACAAAATACAAAAAATAAAATTACGATGAAATCACCTGAAGATCTGGGCTGAGGCCACCATGACAACAAAAGATCTTCTCGTCGATAATGGCGGCTATTGGTAGACAATTGAAGCAATCGGTAAATGTCTTCCAAAGCTTTATGTTATACCTTCTTTTACATTCATCATAAAATCCATATATCCTGTTAATGCTGGCGCATTCATGGTTCCCACGTAGTAAGAAGAAATTCTCCGGATATTTGATTTTATAAGCCAGCAAGAGACATATCGTCTCAAGGGATTGCTTTCCACGATCAACATAATCACCAAGGAAGAGGTAATTAGCCTCCGGTGGGAATCCACCATACTCGAATAGTCTCAACAAATCCGTGTATTGGCCATGAATGTCGCCGCAAATTTTAAGAGGTGCTTCCAATTCCAGTAGTATCGGTTGTTGAAGAAAAATCTCACGGGACTTTAAACAAAGTCCACGTACTTCTCCCTCGGACATTGTTACTGTCTTCCCTGGTCTGCATCCTCTTACTGTGTTCACATAAATTACAATTTGTTATTCTAATAGATTGTTATTGAGTTTCATTCATTCTTTAGTTTTCGATAATGGAGGCATACGATTATTAGCAGGCAGCATCGCGAATAGCAGCATGGAGCATATTCTACGTTAAATGTAATACTTATTGTTTATATTTTTTCCCACGTGAGTCGAAAATAGAATATTCCCTGCTTATCGTACAAGCCAACTAATTTAAGGGTTGAACATCGGACTGACAAATCAACCTTGAGAAAAAAAATCCCACTTGCTAAAAAAACTTCTCTTGGTGACTCACCCTTGTGATACTAACAGATGAACGGATGAATGGATGGACACTTCTTTCTTATTATGATATTAATTGTCAATATATTTTGCCTATATGCTCTTTTCATTATAACCCATTTAATATAGTCTGATCTATCTTTTTAGGTAATAGTGAATCATATATTACTTATATGTACTTTTTATTTCATCAGAATCGTCAATATTTTTTTCCTTTATTTGTCTGACTCATTTATATTCAAATAATCGCCTAAACTATCTTTCATAAAAAATAATGAATTATACATCACATATGCAGATTGTGCTTTGTACATATATAAACTTTTATTTATCTAACTAGATTTATCTATAAACTCAGTTCACTTAACTCATTTATATTAAAATAATGCTAAAACCTATCTAATAAAAAAGAAACAAATTTGAATTATAAAGGTTAGACTTTATCAAGTTAAGTGTATATAATGGTTTATATATAATACGAACACAGAGCAGGAACTTACACATACATTAATACACAAACTCATACATGTATGGCATTTATATGAGTGAAAGAATCTATTATCGTTCTCCACCTACGACAATAACGATATTCATTCCAGAAAGAACGAGTTTCATATATCCTCTCCATGTTAACAAGAATTTTATTTCAAACAACGTATATGCATACACACCTACACACATACACGCGCTCATATATATATATAATATATATATGCGTGCGCGCGTGTGTGTATATGTAAATATACATGCATTGAGATATCACGCATTACGAATAAATGACCTTGTACAACTAAAAATATGGAACACAAACAGAAAGAAAAGAAATGAGAGAAGAGAGGAGAGAGAGAGAGAGAGAGAGAGAGAGAGAGAGAGAGAGAGAAAAAAGAAGTAAATGTTTGACATATACATACATATGATAATAAAGAGTGATTATGTAAAAAGGTAGCATAACAGCGGTCTCTTCGTACAGGTAAAAATGCAAAAAGAACGCGTAACGATCGATGATGTTCGTTCACGCGAACAATACTTCAACGTATATTTCGCGCCTCGTGAACAACGATATGATCGAGAGGGGATAGGCGATGAAGAGAAAAGAGTAATGTTAGGAAAGATGTAAAGTGGGGGAAAGGCAAGCTCATATGTTATTGTAGCAACACCTTTACACGACGCTTTTAGATCATTTTCTTTACAACCATCCTAATTCCTATCTTATTTCTTATTACGAACATGACATCATTTCAAAATATTCTTCTAATTATCATTATTAACATTGTAATTATGTACATTGTATGTATGTATGTATGTATGTATGTATGCATGCATGTACGTTGTGTACGCGTGTGTTATTTCTTCTTTTTAACCGATTTAATATATTTATAGACATAGAAATCAATCCGTCTAGAGTCGATTATTGAAAAACAACTTATATCGTTCAATTAGTTACGTAGTTTAAGTAAGTAAGAATATAATCTTGATAAATACATATTTTTATATTCTTCGATAATACAAACAAAAATGGTGGAAAGGGAGGGGATATTATTTGGAGAACGAGATTATTACGTATTCAATAAATAATCCGCGAAAATTTAAACATGCGTATGCAGGTTTATAGCAGCGTTTGAAAGATGTTACAGAAAATTCACAACTTGTGACATTTTTGAATATAAAAATTTCTTCGTATTCTTATTATTATTATTATTATTATTATTATTATTATTATTATTATTATTATTATTATTATTATTATTATTATTATTATTATTATGGTTGGCATAGTCCATTATCGAGGATAAAATGGCAAAGCTTTGCACACGCATCATAAAAACGTCTACTGGAGCTGCAACTCTTACAAGCGAATAACTCTTACGTATATATCGTCTATTTATTTGTGAATGTGTGAACGCGTTTTTTATATATATCGTATGTGTTACATATATCATACTACACTAATCAAATAAAATTTTCCGATACTACTACGTTGATTAAGACCAAATAAGGACATTCCGTCGTAAATTTATCTTACTGGTTTGACTCAGTTGTAGGTAAGATTAAAAAATAGCGGGATAATTGAAATTAGAAAGAAGGATGTCCTGAAAGAAAGAAGTCGTAGTAAGTACTTACGTAAAATGGAAGGGAAAGAAAGGGAGAAAGAGAAGAAAGAAAAGAATCAACAAAAATGATATTGCTAACCGGTTTTCAAGACATATAACCACCTTCCACGCTTCCGCCATTGTACATGCTGTTGTAAATAAAGTAAATAAGTTATGTATATGTATATATATGCATGTATGTCTTGCGCGAAGCTTTCGAGCGCGAAAAAGACGAAGGGCTGAAAAAAAATGAAAAAAATAAAAGAAGAAAAATATATAAAATAGGAAACCGTATATTATCGTTGGAATCTCTTTTGCAACAATAACTTCTGCGTCTACCCCGATTGCTATGAAAGGACGCTCGAGATTAAGCGAAAATTAGGTGAACTAAAAAAAGAAAAAGATAATATTATAAGTTAAAAATAAAAACAAAGTATACAAAATAGCGCAACTACATGGATTTCGTGGTTTGATTTTCTTTTAAATGTATAATATGCGTACCGACAAAATCCGACGAGAAAATATCTTTTAGCTTGGCTTTCTTCTGAACCTGGTCTTTCTGCGTGTTGTACACTTTGAGAGAGAGCATCGAAAGGGCCGACGACGCACGTTTTGTCGAGGGAAAGAGAGAGTGAGAAAAAGATTGAGGAAAAAGAGAAAGAGAAAAGGAGAGGCAAAAAGAGAAACAGAAAAAAATCGTTTTTTTCTAGTTATTAAAACTAAACAAAATATACTCGGTTAATCGAACATTTCACATTGAAAAATATTTTTTTAAAAATATATATTCGGTGTACTGGAAAAAAATTAAAAGAAAAGAGATCGATATTTATCACATTATTTGTTCTTATCTATCTATCTTTTCTTCTTTTTTCTTAAGCAAAGATTTCCTACATAACGTGAAAAAGACGCTCTCAACTAGAAATAGATATGTATATACGTAGAAGCGAACGAGCGAGCGAGCGAACAGCTCTCCCCTAAACTCTGAAATAATTAATCACGATATCTCATTGTATAAGTCATACGAAAGTAAAATGACAAAATGGTAAAATGGGACGACGCGTACCGTTCGATTTGTCGCGCTCGCTCGAAAATAAGTTGTGTGCACTGATGTTGCTGCTGTTGCTGCTGCGAAGTAGTAATACGCGACACGATAATACTTAGTTCGATTTAACATGATTATTTAATACGAATAAAAGCACGCCTCTTTGCAAAATCGAAAGCGAAGTTATTATTAATAATCTTACACTGTGATCTCTCGCGAGTACTCTTTCATTATCACGTACCTTCTAATAATCTTTGTATGAGGCTGTCGATGTTCAAGTCGACATCCGCCATTTTTTCTTGCCACTGACTAGCACACTGACGCTCGTAAAACGGTTAGTAGGGGTTTCCTCGGCACTTAGCTGTTTTGTTTGCGCGTTTACGGAAAGAGAGAGAAAGCTTACAGACGTATATGCTAAGAGCGTTGCGTGATAAACTCTTATCGACTGCTGATACGGACATCTTGTTTTGTTATTTCCCACTTTTTCTCAACCCTTCTCTCTCTACTCTCCATCCTACCTCTCTCTCTCTCTCTCTCTCTCTCTCTTTCTTCTTTCTTTCCTTGTTTAGCTCTGCTTTCTTCTTTACTCACTTTCGATTCTGATTTGTTCGACTGTCTCATTCTCGCTTCTAATTAGTTCAATTCTCTTCATCTTATTTCTGATTGGCTAGACTCCATTCATCTCGCTTCCGATTGGCTAGTTACTCTCTCTTTCATTTCTAATTGGTTAACCTACTCTTCTTTCTCACTTCACTCTCTTCGAATGTAAGCTTGTCAACTCATACAGAAGACAGTAGAAAATAATAAATTTTTTTTGGACCAAAAATGAAATAAAAATTAATTTAAAAAGGTATATCTCCAGTAAATAATAATTGAGTCGTTTACGTTTATATTTTGACATTATTTCATTTCTCTTTGCAATTTTTAGTATTACGTATATCTTTTTTCATCAATTGTAAATTGTAGTATACGTATATGTAATTGTAGTAACGTATATCTTTTTATCAATTTGTGTCTTATTTTTACATCAGACATCAACCATAAGGATAAACCCGTTAATTAATTCTTTGAAAACTATGAATAATATGTTTCCGTCAGTATGTTTATTATTATTTGTTTATCAGACGATTCAACAAATATCTACTATAAAATAGATTGTAAAATTCGCAATAATTTACAACTCTTTTTAACAGTGCGTAAGCCGTTGCAGTATACTACGATCAATAGATGAAAACGATTTAGTATGTTAATTATTTAGTATTTTCTTAACCGTACTTTCGATGATAGTCTGGTGGAGGATCAGTATAATCTTGTTGCAGATTAAATAGTTCAACATGATTCTTTTGCAAGTATTGTAAGAACTCATGAAAGTGCGATAACAATAACTGTATACTTCTTTCGTCTAGAGTAGTATAGGATAGCATACCGCCTAGTCTAACTGAAAATAAACGGAAATAAAATTATAGCATTAATTGGAGTCTTAAAATATTACATATTTAAATATATTATATATATAAGATATTTAGAATTGTTACCAAATAGTCGAAGTAAATGAAATGCTCCATACATTTGACTGGGCAACACATCTGGATTGTCATTCATCATCTGGATAAATTGTGGACGTTCCCATTTATATAATAATTGAAGACCTAAAGTAATGTTAAAGTAATCCCTAATTCCTTTAGTTATTTCCATAATGCTTTCCCTGAAACGAGTATTTAAAATTAAACATGTTATTGTTATAATATATCTTTTATCATAAATAATAAAAGATTATGGAAACTAACTTAGTAGATTCAGGTTTTCCAAGTGACTTTGATTCTACATAATCATCTAGAACCTTATCGACTGTATTCTTAACAGGAAGGACTGGTAATTTGTGGTGTTTTAATATTACTTCCGATTCATCTATCAGTACAAATTTTAATTCTTCCGGTATCTTAATTTTAACTTCAACCTTAGTCAAATATTCTTCATTTTCACCTGTTGGTTCTACTCGGCTGTAATATAATTCATTTTATTATTATTATTTTTTCAAAATATATTTGTAATAAAAAGAATAGAGTATATCAATAACAAACCTGCGTTTTTTGCGTGGTGCCTCGGTTGTAGAAGTATCATGAGATGTTGAAGGTGTAACAATACTACTAGCACTTTTACTAAATCGACTAATACTTTTATCAACATTTGCTACTGGTGTGCTAGCTCTACTATCTGTATCTTTTTCTCTACCAACATCGCTTCTTCTTCCTTGCGTTTTGGAGCCTGTGCTACCTTTTTTATTTTTTTGTGCGCTTTGTTGATTTGAATGTGCTCTTTGCACTTCACGCTGTTTTTGTACATTAGCTTCGTTATATTTTAATACACGACTTTCTGGCACCCATTCATCCCAGCTATTAATTAGATATAATATAAATTAGAACTCGTAATGAGAGTAGTCAAATTAGAATTTATCTCGTATACTTACTTTTTATTCCAACCAGCATAGTGAATAAAATATTTAATTTGTTTCTCTTTCGTGATGGATGACTTTAAACATTTGGCTTCGTAAATCAATGGTCCATGGAAACACAATACCTTTTCACCTATTTCACAGAAAATGAAATTAGTACATGTTGCAATACGTCAAATAAATAATTGTTCAAGCTATGTAATAATAGAGAAATATACCTTCTTGAAATTTGCACTTTGGTGGCATCTTCACAGTTTGTTGAATATTAATATTGCTAATAGTTATTTTAACCTATCGAATAAACCAAATTATCGTTTGTATTTAAGACCAATAAACCACTATGGATTATCGACAAGTGTTCATTAATTTCAATATAATGATTAAATTATTTTAAACAGTTCTTTGTATTTTTTCACTCAGTTGAGATGCATTCACAATCAACAGTAAACAAATTTATTTCATCTAACCAATCACAACACTAGAATTAACTATTAGCTCTGCATGTCTATAACTATATGTAATATGTATATGCATTATTTTTAATTTTCATTTTTTCATAAGAAATCACAGGGGTTATTTGGCCGCACCCTGTATATAATATGATTTATATTTCATTATTTGTAAGAAATAGTTGTTATATAATACATTGAGGAATATTACACACACCAATAATACTTTTTTATATAAAATAGTTCAAATAATAAAAAATAAATATATTATTTTGTTATGAAAAATTATAGGTTATAATCGGAGATATAGCATTATAGCTATATAATTCAGACTAAAGTATACGCAACGATCAATTATTCGATGGAAAACAACCTTAAAGTGTTACGTGAACGCCATTGGTTGAAGTGAATATACATATCAACATCATACATATACATCATATATATATATATAAATATATGTTACATATATATATATATATGTAAACAGAAAGTATAAAATCAAAAACAATTTAATTTTATTATCTTTATTTTTGTACATAACTATACATTCTTCTCTAAAATTATACACCAATTACCTTGATCATAGTAAGTATTTTTGATCGAAACCAGAGGAATCTCTGAACACAACATCGATAATTCATTTTCTTCAAAAAGATGATAATATCTGAGAAAATGATCACCGCTTTTTTTTTTCCAAGGTACAAGCATATCACTGTGAGTAAATTCTGTTCGATTTCTATGTACAGGAAGCAACAAATTTTGTTCAGTTTTTTGTAATGTACATGTATCATTACCATTATCATTTCTCTTATTAGTATTGTATTTTAAGTAGTTGGATTGCTTGGAATTCCTGTTCTGATTTTTCGCCCATACATAGATCAAACATTTACCATAAGGTCTAAGTATGCGTATCATTTCAGAGATCGCTTTTTTTCTTCTTTCTTCAGTCGACAAATGATGAATAACAGCGATACTTATTGCACCGTCTACTGATTTGTCTTTATACGGTAAATGTAAACAATCGGATAGGAGTACTTCGAAATTTCTTTCTCTACATATTTCTGTTAACTTAGAACTTCGATCGCAACCAATCTGTTAAATTTAAATTGACAACTGTATAAATATTATGTAACAATACAATATCACATATAATCTCGTGTGTTTGTTACATACTTTAAAAATATTTTCATTGGTTTGAAGATATTTGCCATTTCCACAACCAACGTCTACTATTAAGGAGCCGTCGTTTAAACTGTTTAAAAACTTGATTACATTAGGCCAACCTTTGCTTCGAGTTTCGCTAAAGTGATCTGAGATTTCATCATATACCTAAACACATTTTTTTATACGATTAGAAAATTGCAATTTGAATTAGATTATAATATATAAATCTACATTAATGATAAATCACACATACTTTATGTACATAAAATTGTTCTAATTCCATTGCCGACTTATTGTTAATAGAAGAAGAAAAGCAGGTTTTCTTTGAATCACAGTATTCAACGAACTTACAAGTACAAGGTCCTTTTTGTACTTTTCGAAATGTGAACGAAGTTCTTATACCTCGCATTTGTTTTACAATTCCATTAGGAGTTTCAATTAAATCGTTATGCTTTGAAGAAATTCCATGCATCCAGGCATAACGTGCTTCATCGGTCATAACTAACAACGAACGTCGAGGTAGTACAACATTGACTTTCGCATTTTCTTTTTTAAAATTCATAACACACGTAGAACCCAATGATAAAGAAAGTATAGTATTATTGAAAGGACTATGTGAGTCAATGTGTGGAGGTATTCCTTGAAATAAAGCAAATAAATATTGTAAATAGTATATTGATTATCTTTTTTTGTGATTAGTACCTTGACCAGGTAAATAACGATTAATAGTAAGTTGATCATAGTCGTATGCTCCGCATTCGTGTTTTTTAAATCTACCCTGTAAAAATCTACATTCTTCCGGAATTGGAATAATTGGTGTATTAGGATTAACATCGTTCGAATGATATTGAAATTCGTATCCAAAGTGTTTAGCTTTTCTTTGCTTTAGATCGGATAAAAAGGGTCCTACAAAAAAATGTATATTATATAAAAATACTTGAATATTTTAAATTAATAATATTACCATCTTCTGTCCAATCAATTATATTCAACAAGGAGTTCTCTTCTTCTTCGCTTATAAAATCTTCTATTACTTTAAGACCAGGTGGCAATATAGAATCAAGTGTATTCTTATTTAAATCAGGTACTAAAAAATATGAAAGTTGATGTTTAGTTTCTTAGATATATATATAACGAAAAAAATAAATAAGTAATATACCTGATTCAGTATATGTCAAATACAATGGTGTATTTTGACCATCCAATTTAAAGCGTCCATGTATTTTATTGTACAATTGAATAGCATCAGTTTCTAATGAACATTTAATGAAACAATAAGTACGTCCTAGTGGCATGATAAATTCACAATTAGATATTACAGGTGAAACAATATTCTGCAGCATTTCTTTATCTAATCCGGTGGACAAGCCTGCGTTGCAAATCAGTATATTCTATTGAAAAAAAAAAAAACTTAAAGGCGCAAAGATAAATGATATTAATCAAATGATAGAAGAAAGAACTAACTCTGGTAGGTTTGTTGCAACATTTAATATTCATATCCCTTATAAGCCTGTAGTATGCACGCTTTTGTTTTCTCACACTCTTAGTTATAATCTTAGACTCGAGTTCCATAATAACTATTTCAGCACAACGTTAACTGTATCGTGTATGAGTATAAATTGAGAACGTATTCACGTGGATTCACGTGTTACAGAATCGTACGACTAATAACCTACGATGACGATACTTAGAATAATATTAAAACGTGACGTGACTCATTTTATTACAAAAGAGCGAATCGTTGGGAAATACCTGAGGAAAACATATATAACCTAAAATTAAGACAAAAACATAATATTTAAAACTTATAAAATTTGAATCATCAATAAAATACTTAAATCAAATAATTCATATGAAGTTTGCCATAGTCTCGTAACGAGATAGAAACTACGGAATAGTAAATAGAAAGACAGAAATGAAGAAAAAGAAAGTATCTATTCTACAACCAGCCATATAACCAACGCGTGCAAATGGCAACAGCTCAAAGCAACGGCAGCAGAGCATTTAAACGACCGGCCGGTGAGGGAGTTACGTACATTTTTAAAGGGGTAAATTGTGCAGCGCTTTCCTTAGCGCAATTGCATATGTGTGTATAGTTACATGAGAGCGCGCGTGAAGCTGAATAAAGAAGAGGGGTATCAGTCTGCTCTCGGCAGCGCTACTACAAGGATCGAAGAGACGCCAATCGGAAGCGTCTTCTCTTCGATCCAATCGCCACGTTACATACACATACGCTCGTACGCATTTGTGGTAGTTTATTTATTTCCTTAAAAAAAAAAATACGTGTTGTTTGTCATTTTCTTTTTTTCTCTCTTTCTTTCTCACTCACCCACAAACACACACATTTTCTTTCTCTACATTTATATATCTTTATCTTTCTTTCTCTTTTTATCTCACGTGTTTTATCATTATTAAATCAGAACGATCTAAAGGAAGAAAGTGTGTGTGTTTCGCTTATCTTTCCTTATGGTTTTGCGGAAAAAGCTGGACCGACCCGAACAACCATTTTATGTGCAGTTTGAAGGACGTGATTCCTCAAAGTGTGAAAGAATATAATCGCGCATTAGAAATAGGAATTAAGTCATCCTACTAGTCTTTTTCATTTCGTTCACTACCCCCTTTTTTTTCTTTCTTTCTTTTTTGTCTATCTATATCTATATACAGATATATATGCATACATATGTACAATCAGTAAATTCGATTTTGGTGAAAAAGAACGGTGTAGGAGCCAGATCGTTCGAGTTACGTACGCGATTGCGTTGATACGGATGCGCTCGGCTTAGCTTCAAGGTCGTGCCGTTTGTCGTTCCGGCAACGTGCCGGCTAACGTCAAGAACGTGCAAGAGAGGGGAAAGGAGAGAAGAAAACGCATCGATCCTTTTTTCCGCATCGTAACATTTCCTTTCGACGTGTCGTTTCTCTTTCTTTCTCTTTTTCTCTCTCTCTCTTTCTTTCTTACTCTATTTCTGTCTTATTCATCGTGTAGTCCAGCTAGCAGTTTGTAATTTAACAAGGGTGGTGAAAGAGAGAAAAAAGGGAAAGGTGTAGTGATACGCTTAAATTTTTTTATTCGGAGATACTCCCGGTATGCTCCCTTTCCCCTGCTTTCTTAATATTTCTTTGTTATTTTCAAAAAGGACACAACAGAAATTCGCGCGTAAACCTCAACGGTCGATTGGTCGATAACGTTTAAAAGTGTTTCATCAAAAGAAGCAATGTATTACTACTCGTGAAACGTTAACGTATTTTTCTAATTTATTACATTTTAGAAGATTATTTATTGTTCATCGAAACGAAGAAGAAATAGAGGAAGAAAACTAAGAAGAAAAGTGTTCGATTGTAATAATGAAATATTGCAATATTTTCAAATTGCTATAAAAAAATGTAATAGTGTCATCCCCCCTCCGTAACGCGTTAAGTCTCCATATTCTTCATCGTTCCGAACATCAACGAAAATTATCGAGTGTTTACGAACACTAGCGAGCGTCTACGAGCGCGCACAGCTGTTTACATTTTGTAATATTTTTCAACTCTGGAAGAAGGATTTTTGAAGAACGAGGATAAAAGGACGTGAAATAGCAAGAGTTCTAACATCGATGTTTGAATTTCCAAGGAAGAATCAAACTCGTGATGGTATTACTTAATTGGCTACGATACCTTATTTTTTCTTACGTCTCTTACCACAAGGAAAATCTAATCTAACCTCAATATTATAGTTATAATATTCTTCTTGTTATCTGCGCTTTTTCGAAGAATTTTATTAGAAAAGGCGATTTTGTTTTGAATTTCGTTTTTTTCTTTTCTCTTTCTTTATTCTCATCCAAGTTTTCTACATTCGACGAAAGAGAAAGAAAAGAAGAAAGAAAGAAAGAAAGAAAGAAGGAAGGAAGGAAAGAAAGATTAAAAAATATAAGAAAACGTCTTTTTGTTTTTTTAACGCCGAATACAACATGCCAATTCTTATTATTGATTGCTTATTTAATATAAAATAAATTTTAGATAGATAACGTATATATTTTAATTACTCGTTAAGACGCTCTTGTTT